CTACTATACCAACCTTCATTATGTCTGCCTTTTGTTAAGAGAACACTGATGGGTCCATTCTGATCCTGCGATCCTTGGTACTCCTGTTGATGGTGTATTTCAGGCGAAGGACTTCGGGAACGAAGCCTGTCCCGACTTCGACTCCTCACTTCCCTCCCATATCTAGGATCAGGTTGAGATCCATGAGTATAACTGGGTGGGCTGTAGTTTCCTCTGTAGTCCCGTTCATAGCCACCATCCCTGTCGACGCTCCTTCCTCGGCTCCGATCTCTTCTATAGTCTCGATCCAAGCTCCTGTCGACGCTCCTGCCACGACTCCGGTCACGGCTGTAGCTGCACTCCCGGTCGCGGTCTCTGCTTCGGTGACGGCCTCTGCCTTGTTCTTCTCGGTAGCTCTGATCCAGGCTGTTTCCCCAGCTTTGGCTGCGCCCTCCATTACCAGTATGCCAACTTCTGTCACTATAGCCACTTCGAGCACTTTTGCCATCAAATTCTGCGTGGTCATCCATTACATCTAAAGCTCTGTCCTCATAGTCAAGGGAGGGGCTTCTCCTCAGTGCAGCAGCCGGCACTTTCCTTGGTCTTTTCACTACCTGTTCAGTGCGATAGGAAATAAACAACCAAAAAAAACCCTCCAATGGTCAGAATGTGAAATTCAACACACTAATATTATTCACACTTCAAATAGTGGTTGGGGAAAAACAAACAAACAGTGTTCTATTTATAAAACAACCAGTTAATTAGATTATTCAGATGTGCAGAACAAATATTTATTAATTGGGAGGATTAAAAGCAGTAGAAGAATTTAGGGAAAAAAAAAAAATCAGATCAGCAACCAGGTTCTTTTACCTCTGCAAGAATGCACGCAATGTTTTGCTTTTTCTAGATGACTTCTACAAAATGTGACAAGCCTCCAAAAGAGAGAGTGGTAGATGCCTCTCTTGACTAGTGAAAGTCCATCTGGACAGCAAACTCTTGCACAAGTTCTGTGTATGTTGGACATTCACATATTTGCCTCACATAGCTTTCATTTTACAACTACCACTCACTATTCAGTAAAATTAAGAATTGAGTACATACATTTTGTTTCCAGTTTTTTCAACAGCATAACTTTGTGACACTGTTGCTTAATTTCCATTTGTTTCACCTGTAGAAACTATGTCTTTGCTTTGTTTTATTTACTTGTACATTCTGTTCGGCAAAGGCTCGCTTTGCTTTATGCATTTATAGCACACGTCAAAGGAGACGACCAAAATCTTGACTGGTTGCACAGGTACTTACCACTGTAAAGTGAATGCATTTGTAATTTACTTACAATGGTGGCCACTTTTCCACTTTTCCTAAGCTGTTGGACTGCAAAAGAATGTGGAACATTTTCCATTGGGGTCCCGTTAACTATGACCACCCGGTCATTTTCTCTGGAGGAAGGGGGAGGGCGGAAAAAAAAAAAAAAGAAAAAAAGGATTTAAGAGAAAACTTCAGGAA